TTTCGCCACTTTGTTCATGGTCGCCCCGTCACAGTAAAGTCGGATCATCACGCTCTTTGTTATTTGAAAAACGCAGATCAGTCGACAAGCAGGTTAACTCGCTGGGCGATCAAATTACAAGAATTTGATTATCAGGTAATATATAAAAATGGTAAAGCACACACCGATGCCGACTGCCTTTCACGCAATCCAGTACTTCCCGCTCCTGAAGAAGAATCTGACCTTTTCGACGTACCTACCTTCCTGCTGGACAACGTAGATATTCGCTTTGAACAACAGAAAGACCCGGGTTTACAACAACTAATACAAATAATTGAGGATCCAGAAAACAACGAATCGACAATAGCTTTGAGGAGAAAATCCAAAAATTTTACACTAATCAACGGCGTCTTATACAAAAAAAATGCAATACCAAGTGGAAATGATAACCTCCTAGTAGTCCCGCATCATCTGAAGCACGAGATCCTTTTTGCACACCATTCCGAACCCTTGGCAGGACATTTAGGGATAGCAAAAACGTTCCATAGAATTAAAGGGCGATTTTACTGGGACGCTATGCAGTCAGATGTGGAAAAGTTTGTAAAAGGGTGTGCAGACTGTCAAGCGCGGAAGGGCGAACAACATAAGAAACCAGCCGGACTACTAAAACCTATTCAAGTGGGGTTGCCATTTGATAGAGTAGCCATAGATATCTTGGGACCATTCCCAAAGAGCAAGAGAGGAAATGTAGTCATAGTTGTAGCCACAGATTATGCAACAAGATGGGCTGAGACTCGGGCGATGGCTAATGCTAAAGCAGAATCAGTGGCCAAGTTTATTTTGGAACAGATACTTACGAGACATGGAAGCCCAAGATACCTTTTGAGTGATAGGGGAACCAACTTTCGGTCGCAAGTGGTACAAGAACTGTTGAAATTGATGGGTGTTTATCACAATTTTACAACAGCTTACCATCCACAGTGTAACGGACTGACAGAGAGGTTCAACAAAACACTCGCCGACATGCTCGCCGTTTTCACAAGCACCAGCCAGAAAGACTGGTGCCAGTATTTAACTCACGTAACGTTCGCCTACAATACAGCTCGTCAAGATACCACTCAGTTTTCTCCATTCATGCTTGTCTATGCAAGAGAAGCAGTCTTACCTACGCAGGCAAATCTTCTGCAGGAACCGCTGTCAAGCTACGTGTTTGATATTAGAGAAAAGGCATTGGCCGTTAGGAACTGGGCTGTCGAAAATATTTATAAAAAACAAAATATTGATAAAGAAAGATTCGACGAAAAACATAGGCACGTTGAGTTCATGCCTGGGGAAAAAATAAAAATATTTACTCCTATTAGAAAAGTGGGAAAGAGTGAAAAATTATTATTAAAATATTTCGGCCCATATACGGTGATAAGAAAAATGGGGGATGTGGATTACGAGAGTAGAAAAGGCTCGAAAAAAGAAGTTGTACATGTAAGTCGACTTTTAAAATATAATGATCCATGGAGTCCACAGGTGAGTAGCGACAAATAAACAATGTTTTCATTGATCTACTTTTGCATCCATTATAATGAGATAATTTTGTCGAACTATATAAAAGCGTTGGGTGTTAGTTTTTATTTTAAATGTATGCTTTGTTAACGGGGGTTTACGAGAACTTTTCAAACGTGTGAGCCTGCGTGTCGGAAAAAGACAAACAAATAGTACAATTTTTAAGTTTAAGGTAAAACGAATTCAAAATAAATGTATTAACATGGCTTTCCTACAGGCTGTTCGCTATCTTACTAATCAGTCAAAATTCTTGCGTTGGAGGACAAATAGAAGTGTCGGCAGGAGCATTCTGGAGGCCCCTTGTGGAGACTTTGAATTACGAGGCAACCATACCAATAAAGTATACAATGGCGTGGTTCAAACCACAAACAAACAGTACGGGCACATCAAAACAATGTAGTGGCGATCACAATTGCGAACTGGCGACCGCTATGCACCAGTTAATGGAAGCGGTTGACGGCGAGCTGGAACCACAAGAGTCGGAAGAAGGATGGCAGCTTTTTGAAGATCAACAGCACAGAGAAAAACGCAGCCTGGATTTTCTAGGAGAGGGACTGGCTTGGTGTTGCGGCGTTGCAACACAACACAAACTAGACTCGCTGCACATGGAAGAAAGGGCTTTACAGAAAAAACTTCGACAATTGGAGGGGGGGCTATCTGAAAATATCAAAACGCTAAGTCAAAATTCTGTGGAATTTAAAAAATATACAGATCAGGTCGGGGAGGCTTTTAAATCCACGGAGAGGAGGATTAAAGAAATGGAAAAATCCATCACAAATTTTAGGAACAAGACGAATGAATGGGAAGGATTTTTCGGTACTTTAATAGAAAATCAATTTCAAAATACTAGACGTATCGTAACAATGTGGCGCGCGTTGGAATAAAGGGACGTAAAACTGTCATGTCGACAACACCAAATACCAGAAAAGGTGTTGCGGCCCCAACTTTTTCAAGCGAACTTAATGGAACTTCAAAAGGAATTAATCAAAGCAGGTCACGATTTAGCTATTGCTGTCACGGATATACACAGGTATTATCAGTTACCAATAACAGATTGTGTAATTTCAGGTAATAACATAACACTGGTAGTACGAGTGCCCATCGTACAACAGGGCATTAGGTGGAGTTTGTTTGAGCTCATAACTGCACCCTTCAGTTGGTACAATCAGAGTTGCAGAATAGAGTACAGCACCTTGTTTTTGGCGGTGGCAGAAGCTCCCTACACTAGACACCGGAGGCACAATTTGTACCGACAAATTTCTGGTTTGGGGTTGCATCAGTGCAGGCCGCACTCCGACAAACTGTGCTTTCTTCCTCGATTCGGAGAGGATAAACTTCATGGGCCTACGTGTGCACGAAAATTATATGAAGGTGCGACAGTGGAGGAATTAAGTTATCACTGCCCCATGAAATGTCACGCATCGACATCGCTTACCATCACAGAAGTCGAGGAGGATTTATTTATAATAACAAATTTAAAGGTAGGCGCTTATATAAGTTGTCCCAGCAGTAATAAAACCCTAACTGAATTCGGAAGCTTATTGGGCGCGTTAAAAATAAAACTTCACTGCCAGTGTGCACTTGTTTACCTGCATGATGTAATAATACCTAGACGTTTTCCCTGCTTAGATACTATCCCTCGCATCCACGTAAATCACATAATTCCAGCAGCGTGGTCGAATCTAAAGTCTTTCATTCTTAACCCCATTCATACCCACTCGTTACCATCATATAACAACTTTTCGGAATGTATTAATCCAAATTGGTCATTGACTATTCCGCATTTAAATTTAACCTCCCCGAATAAACTTCTCCAAAATTTTGTCGCAAATATTCCAGAATCACCACAAATTTTTTCTTTTGCGGACAGTTATGGTGTACATACATCCGCTACTTTAGTTGTTTGGAATCTAATCTTAACTGTTTTATTAATATATATATATTGGAAATCCAACCACCCAGCGATAGCCTCCCCCAACCAAACATGTAACCCTACCACCTCCCTTCTACTACAAGGGGGGAAGCCGTTAGGATAACTGTAGATGACGCGTCGTAAATTATATATATTATCACCTTGTGGATCTTGTCTTAATATTTGGACTCTCGATTAAAAAGATCGTTAGACAAATGCTGAGGCAATATCTGTGCAGGTCGATTGAAGCCTGCAGGCATATATGTATTACCCATATATAGGTTATATGTAGATAATAAGTAGTTGTCCACTGTTTTATATTTTAGATCGGAGATTGAACATAGATTTAGAAAGTTATTTAGATATTGTGTACTGGCTTCGCTTTATCTATTTTGTAGGAGTATAAGGTAATTCTAATGAATGAACTTTTTTTTTATGTTCTGGAACCGGGTCTGGCAACGGGAGACACCTACCATACATAAGGCGTTCTTGCTCGAGATAGAACCAGCATGGAAAAAAAAAAAAGGGGCCCTGACATCACTCTCGCATACGACGCTCTCGTTCGAGAACCAAGCTTCTACGACGACGAGTTCTCCTTAAAGAAGACTCCAGTTAACAAGACTGGACTCATAGTGGTTGAGTTTTGCCAAAAAGGAAATGGTGGTGAGCGGGACTTCGGCCAGTAAACAGGGACGTTAAAATAGCGCTTATCAACTGCTGCAATTAGTAAGAGAGTGCCGCTTGTCGCGAGAGATTTTAAAACAGTTGCTTCAAAAGATAAATACCTTAAATCAATTTTTGTCTTATTCAAGTGTGTAAAATGTTGGTAGGGTCTTCCTGGGTATGTCGACCAGAAGAATGTAATTTTGTATCGTTGGGTATCTTTGTTATTGTAGTAAAGTAGGAGTGAAGTCTAATATGATTGTATATTTTATAGGGTTGTGTTTGCAAAATGGATAATTTGTGGCTATGTACGTTTTATGCATTGTATTAGTTAAGAGATATCTGTTTGTGAAACACTGGAGGTCCAGTGTTCCTTAAGGGGGGAGATGTGTCACGAAACTGCTAGTTGCCCTAGTTATGTAAAGATTGCCTCATGCCATGCTTGTGGGATGTCAGCAAAAACCTCTTTTTGCTGGCATTACGGAAGCTTAGGTGGGGGGAGTGCGGACTGACGAAAGGGGCAGTCGGTACTAACTAGTGAGAGAAGTGAAGTGACGCACCATACCCCTTAAGGATGGAATTTGTAATGTAAGTTGAAATATATTTAGTTTATTTAATGTATTTGGGATTTTTATTCTTAACGTCGGATCGGGTAATTATCCTTAGCTCTACCAATCTCTCCCCCGACCCGGTCGTGACAATATTTGTAACCAAAGGTTACGCCTTCAGTTAGTAGTGGGCAGTATATTTAATACAACGTTAAACCTATACTGTACGAACAAATGGGTTTTACCTATCTTACGTGTAAAAGAAAAGATACTACGTTCTAAGTATATACTTATGACTATTTCAAATTAATTATAATTACTGGCTATTCGAAAATCTAACATTAATTTGTAGGATCGGAAAGACGTCCAGCAAAAAGATGATTTATTCTTTTCTCAGAGAGAAAATAAATAAACGGGTGATCTGCTATAAACTTCTTTGGAGGAGGAGGACGTTGAAGACTGTTGCAAAACTTCATGAGTCTCGCTTCTGTAAACAAACAAATTAGAATTAATTGCAGACAAACATATGACAAAACTTGAAAACGAACTGAAAAACATTAAAATAAAAGCCAAGTGCAATATAGGGTAAGGTTGCCGATATCGCACCACTTTTTCGAAAATCTCCATTTAAAAAAAAACAATATTATTTTTGGTAACGTTACTAGTTTTAACACATTCCTTTATACATTGGGCATATAAAATAAAATTGTCGTACTTTTAAAACTGTATTAAATATTTTTTTGAAGACATTTTAGAAAGACTTGTATCTGGTGCGATTTAGGAATCTAGTTTCCCAAATCGCACCACGGGGTGCCTAAAGTGCACCATCTTTAAATTGATGCAGAATAGAAGAGGAATAGGTAGTTAATTTGTTTTTTAATACAAACTCTTTAATAGAAAAACATTACAAATGAGGATTAAGATAAGCATAAATCACACACAAAGGATCGTTTGAAAGTTTCCCCCGAAAATCCTGCACAGCTCTCATGCGCCCATCTTGAACATTTTTGGCACAGAACCATGTCTTCGATGTTTGCCTCGCAGCAAAGAAAACAATACCATTTGTTCTTATTGACTATTATCTTAAGATTTTTCTTGGACTTTTGAAGGCCACTAGGCCCTGCTCGAGGTTCCACTTCTTCGGATTTAAAATTCTTTTTACGTTTGTTAATTTGGGTCGTTGAAAATACATTCTTCACTATTTTCCTAGCATTCGTGTTGTTCTTTTGCGCATGAGACTGTTTTGAGGCTTCAAGTTGCTTCTTGTAGGGACTGACAGTTAAAAGCATTGCTTTTTGCGCTCCTTTGGTTCTTCCTGTTTGATATCGTTTGCTTCCCTTTGGTACTGGACTTATTTTCTGTATGGGTACCACCAATAGATTGCACACTTATCACAACATTTGTTTAACCCTATTTTTCCGTTTTTATACTCGTCTATACAACGCATCATACTTTGTGGATCCCATAAACCATCCTGTCTCTTGGCCATTTTCTTAAATCTATACGAAAACAAAAAAATGTTTACAGAAATGGCAAGTTGCTGAAATCGCACCGGTGCGATTTAGGAAACTTCCAATAAGTGCGATTTAGGAAACTGGACATTTTTAAACACAAAATTATAGATAACGTTAACCCCTTTAAAAAATACTCATTTTAGTCTACGGACTAATTGAAACACATTATGTACTTTCGTTATAAGCAAAAAACTGTTTATAATAAACACTCACCTCTTCAGTAACCCGTTACATACACCGTCTGAAACTTTGTTCGACTTATCGTGAAATAAACTTTTCACTTGGAAGTTATGACAGGATAAAGTTTCCTATATGATTCTTGCACTGTCGGCGGCAAATTTTATTTAGTTTCTAAAATTATCGATAGATGACAAGTTTGGCTGATAGTTTACTGTAAACTGTTGGTGGTGCGATTTAGGAACCGGTGCGATATCGGCAACCTTACCCTACTCGTTCACCATTTTTTACTAAAAAAAAATAACAACAGAAAGGTAAACTAGTTAAATTTCACTCTCAAATTATGTACCCCATTGGTAACGGAACTATACATCGTAATCACATCTTTGTGTTTCCAATGTGGATTTGCGCCAGGGAAAAAGAAAATACTCGTGAGCCGAAAATAAGACGTACATTAAATTGTTGTCAAAAATGTCCAGCCTGTCAAAGTAGTACTTAGTTACCATCTGTCTGTCTGTCTGTTTCTTCGTTTACGGTTACAGGATTATACCTTTAAGAGGGTTAAAAAATCGACTAAAAAAATAGATTGTAGAAAATGTAAGTATGTTACATGTGTTGCCTGGTGGTAAGCTAATTACGAACTCTTATTATATCACTCGCTCGCTCGTGTATAAACTTCTTCGTTAGTAGGTAATTAGGCTCTTATCAGTCTCGATATGTAATATACTATTATAAATGCATTGATTTTTCTGTGTACTAGATTTTCGAACAATCATATAAAATTTAATAATTTAAATTAAATATTTACGGAAAAAATGAACTAATATTCTATTGGCATCCACGTGTCAAATGTCAAGTCTATCAATTCAAATCGAAGTTGAATATCATTTTGACATTTAATAAAGTCAGACCAAGATAGCCAACACGGTGCCATAAAATTCCCCGGTATCCTAATAATTTATCATAATTTTTCTTAAATTTCATCATAAATTTGTATACAAAACGCGTTTTTACATGTCTTTTTGTGAGTGTAAATTATTCTAAAGAGAGATAAAAAATTTCCTATAATTTTTTAATTTACTTAGATAATAATGTGTCAAGCATGCGTTCTATTTGTTAGACCATCGCATCTGAATCGACTCTGTAAACTTTATTGATTTAAGCTTTGAAAGACGTCCGGCGACAAGTTGTGTCCTGTCCAACAAAAACATGACTCGTTTCGTTTTTGGTGAGGAAATACTGAATAAGTAATCACTAATTACAGTATCAATTTGTTAGAATTTAAAGTTTATGGTCTGTGAAGATTTTAAAACGTCTTTGTAAACTTTTTCTCAGTGTTGTTAGGCTACATTTTAGACTAATGAAGATGCCCCTTTTGAAAGTGGCGTTTTTCTTTTATGTTTTTTTTGGGACATCGCTACCGGTATGTTCCATCCAACTTAAAATCTCTGTTTTTTTTAAGAGTGCTAGGTTTCTTGTTTAATAATTTAGAACGACATTTTACATTGTCCACTATTATTACTGAGCAGGGACGTAAAAATGGAAGTACTTGTGGTCGAAACGACATTCGAATAATACGCTATCCACATCACAAATGGAAAAATTTTAGTTAGCCTTGTATCATCCACATGACATGCCTAATGTGCATACAAAATTGACAACAATCGGTGCAGTAGTTTCGAAGATTATCTGTCTAATAAAAATCCACACAGACGACAGACAGATAGACAGCATACCGAGTGACAGACGGAAACGGGAAAACACTTCTTTCGTACTTTAGGGGTCATGAGACATAACATGAAAGTAGAATAATTAACCTAGCATGGGCATATAATAACAATGCCCCCAGAAATACTAACGTGGTGACTACATGAGATGGGAACAATAAGGTAAAGGAGAAGGGACACCCATGAAGACCTGGATTCTACAAATAGAGGGCCACTAGAAGAGGAAAAACCATGGAAAAATTGGATAAAGGGGCCAGGGATCCTCTAAATTCAACGCTCGAAAGGGAGGAAAAGCAGAAGAAGTAAACATTTTAGTTAAACTCTCCATTCAGCAACATAAAAATATAAAAACAACTCACCAACGACAGCTGATGCTTCAGTCCCTTCTTCATTTACTTCAATGAAAGCTTTCTGTATAACTTGACTCACATGTATTTGCTTATTTGACACAATCATGCCACTAAAATTCGCGCCACACGGCTTAAAAATTTCACCAAGTCCAAGCTAAACAATAAGAGAATTATTTTATGTATAATGAGCGTTTTGGATTTTGTTTCTTGTTTGTTATTGCTGCGATATCGATATGTGGTAAGTATAATATGAAAGCTGGAGATGTTCCATTTTCAAGGCATGAAAACCTTAGTAGTGTCAGCTCCATATATCCATTACTACCAGTAGAAGTAATAATAGATATACATATGGTTCATTCCATCGATATAGCGATCGAGTAGAACCCATAATTTAATAAAGCTACAAAGGCGACACTCGTAGTGTGGATATGATACCAATGTTGTGTTTTTTATAGATTCCCAGGCCAAAACTCCCTAGATCTCACCGGCTCTCTCTTAACTTTTCCAAACACCGATATCATACGTACAAGGAAACTGTCTAAGAAATACAGTCAGGAATAACTGGTATGCAGGCCTTTGGAAACTCATAAATATTTTCAAAATATATATATAAATACATACCTTAGTTAAGGGATTATTTAAAAAGATGGTTTGCTCAATTTTGAATTTAGGTAGTTGTATGATAACCCCTGTGTTACACATATTTTCTGTTATCTCGCTGAAGTTACAAGTGGCCAGCTTTTTTTCCAGTTTATCAATTCCATTTCTCTTGTTTGGTAAGATAATCATCATGCTTAGATTGTCGTTAGTATAAGCAAGTTCTAAAATTTGAGCATCCAACTTTTTATCTGCTTTATAATTGAACTCCCCGTATTTATTCATCATTGGAACATTTACTGATTTTACCATATTGAGGTAAAACGGAGCAGTTTTAGTGCAGTCCTTGTCAAATGGATTCATCCAACTACCCATGAAGTAGATGGCATTTACAAGTACTAAACGCGTCGATGAATCTAAAACCTCCGTTTTGATAAAATTCTTTATTTTGTATTTTGTTTTTTCTTCAACCCAAGCATTAATACATGCAGCAGCTGCTTCAATTGCAGCAAAATTAACTAATTGCACTTCAGATAGAAAATTCTTAGCCACAGCGTCGCTGAATTCTGGCAAGAGTTCATGGCCCTCCATAAGATAGATTTTATTAGCCATCAAAAGCAGAACATTTGGAATGGAATTAAGACGGTTCATCACAACGCTGTAACCTTCTGCAGCAGCTGCAGAGGTAGGCACTTTCAGTGAGGACGCAAACTTTTCAGCAGTTGTACCTTTGGCACCTTGATAGCACATGGAAAGAACAACGTGCACGCTAATAGGGGAAAAGAAGACATTTCCTGGTGTTTCGGCTAAAACTTTGTACAGGGAGGTCGTAAAGTCTCTATTGCCTTCCAGGACTTGAAGTTCTGATTTTTCTGTGGCCATCGCTAACAATGAAAAACTACAACAAAGACTATTCAAAGAAACCTGTAAGACAAAATAAAATAGTTAAATTAACGTTAGTGCAAATAAAGTAGCGGGCCTCATACTAACGTACAATGTTCACACGACGGACTTGAAGTATTAACCGATGTTTTTTTAATCAATCGTTATTCTTTAGATTTTTATATAGGGGCAAAATATCTAAACGATGTTCAGTGAAATGTAAAAACTTTATGGCAGAGTACTGAGAGTACGGTGAGGACTACTAAGACAAGACGTCTTTCGTTTAAATGAGATCAGACCGTGGTAGTCAACAACACGGTGCGAGTAATACTGGAAGTTTTGGGAGCTTCATTGAGCTTGTAAGCTCAGCAGGAAGAAAATATTCCTGCTACGTCTTGTATAGACAACCAACAAAACACATTATTGATTTCATTATTTTCATTGACCTTAATCAACGCATTATACGTCATATCAAAATCAAAACTAACGGGCAATCGAAAAATTTTCACATTAGGGTACGCTATGTAAATATTTTTCATTTCTTTCGTTAAATATTACGCATAAAAATTCAAGCGTAATTGCAAATTTTGTAATACCGGTTTGACGGTCTGTTAAAGTCGGAGCTCATACCGATACCATTAACAACCCTAACAATGAATAATTAGGATAGTACCACAAAGTGATTATGATAAAGATATTTGTGAGTTGGTAGGTTTGTATAGGCCAGTATTAAGCTCCAAACTACCAACCTACCTCTACCAAATTTGCTGCTATATAAAAGCAAATTTAATTATTTCTCTTTTTTTGTATCTCTGTTAGAAGTGCGAAGTGTAAATTATAGTTTTATTAAAAAATGTTCCAACCATGAAAATCTGCCCAAGTCTTGGATTATCAAGAATAAACTGTAGAGGATGAACACAACACAACAAATTTCGTTGCAACTTGTCATTAGATACAAAACAGTCCACATTAGAATAAGAAAAATAATTAAAAAAAAAGCATCAGTGTGCGAAATTTGGAAGAATTTCAGAACAACTTGGTATTGAAATAAAACAAGTTATGCACCATTTTAATAAAGAAAGTCAAGTACCAACAACTGCAAGTCTAAAAGAAAAATTAACGAAACATGATATGAGGAATATTTAAGAAGTATAGGTTTTTGTACAAGGTCTTGAATGGGAGTTATGGAGTCACAACGTTTAAAAAATTGAGATGGAAATAAGGAATAAAAAAAATCATCACAATTGAGATAGGGCGGGTGGGCGGGGCTATATTTTTCCTTTTTTTTTTCTTAATATGTGTAGATCTATTTAGGCAACAAGAAACTTAAAACATGTCTAAAATGGTACTGTAACGGAAACTTCAACGTCAAGAGCAACTTTATAAATCCCACTGAAGTGCAAATACGAAGATATTTCGGTAAAATCTTTGCCTGGAAAAACCAGTAATTAAAACAACCTAATCCGAAATGGAGAATTATCTTAATTCTCTCTTAAGTACTTAACTCTATAATAAATAAAATAAATAAATAAAATTAAAAAAAAAATTATAATTTTGTCAGTCCTTATTTTTTAGTGAACTTCGAGTCCAAAATGCCAAAAGTTTCTGCAAGTGTAAACGGTTGGATAAAAAAGGACATGCTAAAGTAAAAAAACTGATTAAATCGTTAATTTTTCGAGATACTTGTATAAACAATTCTAATAGTTATTTATGTACCAAGGGCACAAAGAAGATGTTTATATTCGAGGGCAACGTTTACAAAATCGAGGGCCTCTGGCCCGAGATTTTGTAAGTTGCCCGAGATTTATAAACATCAAGTTGTGCCCGTGGTGCATACAAACTTTTTTCCACTAGTAGCATTACAATGGCTAATTGTCGACTTGTCTAGAGGTCTGTAATTTGGAAAATTGTGAACCTTGGTCAATAATGTAAACGTGAAGTTGGCCACCTAATGTGACAACTGTCCACAACTGTCAGAAAAACTGAGACATAACCTGAAAACGATCATTTTGGAAAATTTGCTTTTAAATTATGCCCTGGAATGATTTCCAAACCCTGAATTGATTATAAATTGAGGATAAATTGGTGAAACAAAGTTGATGAAGTTGATGGGAGTGAAAATGAAGTTTACGGGACTGAAACTGAATCATGGTTCCGATTTGGTTTGACCTGATTTGCCGTAGATGAGCTTTGGACGATTTCGGCGATTTTTTTTTTTTATTGAAGATCGAGCCGTCGTTGTATCCTTCTGCTATGCTGGAGGATTTCCATTCCCCGTGTCGCTTTAACGATAAAAGGTCCATACCTTTTTCAGCCAAATTTGTCGCGGTCGCGTAAGTACGACGGAATGAGGAGGGGTACATGATGGTTCACTTTACAACATTTTTCACACAAAAATTTATTAAAAACGGGAAATATGGAGGAAATTAAAACAAAAGTTCTGGACCATTTCTGGATTGTCAAAAAATAATAAAATTCCAAAGCTTACTAAAATGACATGAGTACACATTTTTATTGATGCACTTCAGAAAAAACATTTTGAAAATTCGCAAACCTCAAATGGGCTACTAGTGGAAAAAATAGTATATTAACCACGTTTGTGAAGCCAATTCTAGACCTCGCGCTTTAGAGCCCTCGACGCTGCGCGTCTCAGGTTCTAATTTGCGCTCGGTCTAGAATGTCTGTCTTCACAACCTTAGTTAATAATATACTATTATTTTTCACGAGAAAATCTGAAAAAAACACTAATTTATAAAATTAATTCGTAAAAAAAAAATTTACGTGGCGTTGATTTTGTTGTCAAGGAGATTCTATGTTTATTGCAAACACGGCGCGGCGTCTATTCACGGTGTCAACACGTATATTTTCGACCGCGGAAATGAATGAGGAAAATTGTGAAATTCCAGAAAACATTGTGAAGAAAGCGCAAAAAGCCAATGAAAATGTGTTACCTGGAACATCAGGATCCATATATGAAAAAGAATACAAAATTTTCCTTAATTGGAAGATTAAGAAGTGGCTTACTTCCAAGAATTGGTGAGTTATTCTGTTTATAATATAATTATTTAACTGTGTTCTTCATTTTTAGTCAGAAAAATATTCACCCAGTTCCTTATGGTGAAAATACTCGATGGTCAAGACAACTTTAAGAGTAAACGACAACATAGACATTTCTAATTATCATAGTTTGACATATTTCTATAAAAAACCCAAAAGGTTATGTGGAAAAAAATACCGAGTTTTGACTGGCGAACAAGTCATGCAATTTGTAAAAGATGCTTCCAACAACAAATATTTACTTCAGAAGGTAAACTAAGTTATTTTTTGATGATTGTAATTAATTTAAATACGAATGTTTTATGCAGTAAAGGTAGTTGGAGGATGAGTGAAGACAATTCTAGATTTTTATATAATACGTTATTCGGTGCTAGCAGAATGGAAGCAGAGGCAGAAATAATTCCAATAGAGGTACCTCCGAAAAGTTTAAGTTTACCTGAATAGTTTGGTATGAATAGAAGTTTGTAAATTGTAATTTGTATCTTCGTTATTAAATAAATTGTCAAAAAATAAATAAGTAGTAAAAAATAAACAATAATTTTTAAAAATTTTTGTTTAATTCGGTTTAGCAAAATAGGGCATAATGAGAGGGCATAATAACTCATTATGCCCGCTCATTGTGCCCCGGATATAAGATGCCGCTTAACGTTTATCAAATCATGGATATAAAACAAACATTATGTACGAGTGAAAAATAAAAAATATAAGTGTATGAAGAAAATATCTGTAGCAACACGTTGCTCTGCGCATCTCAACTGAAATAGTATATTAAAGAACGAGTTTCATAAGGCAAATATTGAGGCACGAATCCAAGTTTATAGAACGAGCGGCGAAGCCGCGAGTTATATAAAGGATGAGTGCCTCAATGGCCTTATGAACGAGTTATTTATACTATTTTTTCTACCGCACACGTTTTTTCCCAAAATTTAATTGAAATTTGCATTTTTTTTAATCTGGGGACTTTTGTCGTGGTTGGTGATGGGTCGGTCTAACCACGAAATATTTGAGGTTCGAATTTTCACAACAACAATTGTAATTCGAACCAATTCGAGTTTTTGTAATTTAAAATTGGTTAAAATGTCTTGCGAAGAAGTTACGCGTCCGGAAACATGGGAAATTTTAAGTTTAGATTTGCCACTGACATTCACCTGACATTTCTCGTCATTGCTACCAATCTTACCGATCTAAATTACACCAGATCTATTAAAGAACGCCTTTCCGCTATTAACGAACTGCTGTGACGTCATTTGCGTGCGTTAATAGCTCTATTAGAAAACCAAAAAACGTGGGCGGTAGAAAAATGTGTTAATAAAACGGTTGAAAGCTATTTCGACAGAACTTCCCTCGTCCCTGAAGTATAATCCAACAAATCCTGCTGTTTTGAAAAATTATAAAATTTAATTTTGCGGGACAGATGTTTTAAGTTTTAATGCACATGAAAAGGTCATTTTGGGAGCAAGTTGAAGCAATGATGGGCAGCATTTTCACTTGGTATATTGTTGGTTGCATACACAAAAATTTAGTATCCTTTGAAAAAATTTTAAATTATAAAATGACTGCAAATGAAAATCGATCGTAGACAACTACATATATATTAAACTGGAAATAAATACCTCTAGCTTCTTTAGGCTCTCCACCTAGTTTTTTTTTGCGTCATTTGTTGGCAGCGGCAAACGTTGAATATTTGTTGACGTTTGCCACACCTGCCACACCTTTTTGTTTACTTGTCAAATGTGTCATCCTTGTGTTATGATTACCCATTTTAGCTAAGAACAAAACTCGCCAAAAATGATTAGCTACGGTAAAAAATCCCCAACAACCGGCACTCCGTCGGTCTACTCTCACGTTACATCTCGAAGCACCGCCAACTTGAGGAGCAGCCGAAGTATCAAGTCACTGAAGATCCCATGGTACCGTAGGCCTCTGATAACAGACTCTATCATACTAGACGTCCAGAGAGCAGCCGTGTTGATGGCTGTCTTCTCCTTAGTATGTACAAACCTTCACTGGAACCCATTCATTGATTGTTTCTTTTTTCAGTTGCTGTCGATATTCACAGTGATCACAGCATGCTTTGACCTATATTGCTACGCAATGGCAGTGCCAGGGTCCGTTCATACAGGCTATTATGCGATTTCGTATCAATTTATCTTTGTAGGAAGCAGACATGGTGAGTGCTATTTCATTGTGTCAGATAATTCATTCATGTGGCTTATGTTGTGTTGTTACAGTTCGTAATGCTCTTGTAATGTTCGCCGCCCTTTCGATTCTGCTGGCGATTGCTGTTTTTGTGACCAGTATTATGTTGATCGTCGCTTTGAGGAAGGTAAATAATTGTTTGTTGTTATGATTGATTGGGGTGGTGAGAGATAGGTGGCGCTGGGTGTTACGGATAGCGACTGGGTCGCGACAGGCTTGTAATATAGGCGATCGAAGGGTTTGTTGGGTCACTCTGGTTTCTCTTCAAAGCGAATAAATCTTTCGCCTTTTACTAAAGATTTCCGTGGAGAGGAACAATACAAATGAGTCTATAGCAATTTTTTGTCTGCCCGGCGAAAGCTGGGCATCTGATTGAATCTAAAAATAATCGTTTGATTTTGAGCATCGTTGATGTAAAGTTGACGCCGTGTTCAATTTTAATGTATCTTTCTTCGCTAATTATATGCGCCTTTAGTTCCTTTTTAATTAGCTTTTTTATGCACAAGTTGGATATAACGGGTGATCAACTTGAAAAATCACTCAGACACTCAGAGTGGGCGTTGAAATATCATTTGACAGAAACAGCATGTCTGTTCTTATAACATACAACATATAACAGGTTATGTTTGTGCCAAATGGATGTTATAAGAACAGACATGGCGTTTGTGTCAAATGAAATTCCAACGCCTACTTTGAGTGTTGTCAGTGGAACACCGGTGGTTACTTGTTGGTAGTTTTTGCCTGTCCTGTTTGTGATTTCATCCTTTCTTCGTGATTCTGTGATTGTAGGTCTCATGGGTTCCTATGGAATTCTTCTCTACGTTTTTATTTGTAATTTTTAGTGATTAATACAGATATTACAGCAAGTTATTAAAATACATACCTACTTATACGTAAATGTTTGATATACCGTTGTGGGTTGTGGAATATACCATATACCCACCCACATTTCTGTTCGCTAATTTCATTTGAAATCATTATTCTTGCTTATTCGATTCCATAAAACAAGGAGCATTTAATTAACAATAATTGAAAAGTTTGTCATCATACCCGGCGAACTCTTACGGCGGATTAAAGAAATAACCCTGTAACCTGTATCACGAAACAAATCAAGTAATTATTGCCATAAGCCTCGAATGTGCAATTCTGTATTATTTTTAAAAGAATTAGATAAATAAAATTATGAAGGTTATAAAAATCACAACAATTTCTATAAATAACACCGTATCGCGTCGGGGCTTGCGAAATATGCATCGCCATAATACAGGTGGTTAAAAAGTAACTTTATACTTCATTTGTTTTTGAGATGCATGGCTAACTTGATTTTTTTTTAAATAGCACTAGTAGTCAAATGTTCCGTTTTTAAATAGTGCATTTTTTTTAATTCAAAAACGTAACGCATGCATTATTTTATTTTTTTCCAACATGGTAAAATAAATTTTCAAAATAAAAATACTGAAAGTCAGAAAATCATAGCTAGCCTTGACAATACTATCACCTGTCATGGTCTTGGCGTAGGACACTTTATTCAAAAATTATACTAGTGGCCAATCATTGTAAAAATGATAGAACTGAGGATACATAATTACACGTACATACAGATTGATTTAAATGGTGTTTCCAAATTATTTACAAAATATTTTAGAAATAACATATTCCGATTGTAAATAGTAAAAACATTGTTATATAGTGAACCAAGAGTTATAAGGTTATATGGCCATCATAAAATCATCCCATTGTGTCGAAGTTAAGTTGTTTACAATAGAAAAGGTTTTAGGGTCGTAAATAACGTGTCCACTGCAGCTCGACCGGCTCTTGTGGTTTCGTTCAGGGGCGGCTTTCACTAAATATGAAAATCCACCTCTCCACTATTTCTTTACTACCTGCAGCCGCTGAGGGTTCCGAAATAACCACTCTCTTTGAAAGCCGGCCCTGTTAAATATGAGCAAGAAATGTTTAGAAGATGATTTATTGCCAACCGGTAAGCTTAGTGCGAACCACACAAAGGGGGTATTTATTTGCGGTCAACTACTTTTATGATGGCCATATAACCTTATAGGTCTTGGTTCACTATAAAAGCTTTTTGAAAAATTTAAATAAAAAATTTCAATTGAAAAGAGATCAAATTAACATTTAAAAAACAATAATTTTACAACAAATATTCGAAATTTGTCCATTTACGTCCTGGCAATAGTAAATACGTTGCACAAAGTTTTCAAATGAATCTGTTAGAATAGTAGAGGGAATATCAGCAATCACATTTAATATTCTTCCTTGGAGTTCTTCGATGCTTTGTGGTCTATTGACATAAACTCGATTTTTTACATAACCCCATAGAAAATAGTCAGGTGGGGTTAAATCGGGTGACCTAGCTGGCCACTCAGGCATGTTTTGCAGTTCTGAATTCAGAAAAAAACAGTCTATTCAAAAATTGGCGATTTGACTAATGATGCTTGAGTATTTTTATGTATAACCTAAATTTGAAGAAAGTCCAACTAACCGTTCCCGAGATATTCAACTGCGTCCATACTTTTTAGCACTCCTGTAAGTTTAACGAAGGTTTATCTGGTGTCAAAAATTAAATTCTTAAGTTTGTATAATTATCCTCACGGCCGAACATTTAATAATTATTTCACAATCTTCCACAGAATTTATTTTCGTATACTTACATATAATAATAATAATATTTATTGACATTCAGCAGACCAGAGGTCCAAATAGGATATAATATAAACAAAAATGATTTCTCACGAAGTAAATAATAACAACAGTTAATTTTTGACTATATAGATCATAACAACTTGAATAAATAATTAATGAAATAATAAGTTAGTAGTCACCGGATCACGATATAAGTCGCTAAAATTATTACTATGTTCCATTTTAAGCTCATTGTATATTTTAAACAAATTAAAAATTGGAAAATACATACTTATGTTGATTGGTATGTACGAACAACTTTACAATGAAATAATGGAAACCGTTTTAAACTAAACTGCAGTACATTCAATTTTTAACATACATATATATTTCAATAATGATGGAGAGTTAATAAGGATCTTACATGAAAATAAAGTTGAAACATAATTTCTTCTAGATGTTAAGATATACTAAATTAATTACTACAACGCTTGGTAGAGTGTTTTTCTGTAAAAGGTACACACCAATAAACGTGCGCAGAAACGAAATTTGGTTCGGCATTGCGGGGTGAAAGAATCCAGCACGTGGTGATTCATCTTCAGTGGCGTCTGGCGTTAGAGAACTCTTTGGAGAATTTTCTTGGTTTATTGTGAGTGTATAGTTTGATTTTTTGGGAAAAAATTGTTACGCCTATGATTTTATAACATAGGAAAGACATTTTCACAAAATAAATTTGTGTTTCCATTTTTTTGGCTGTGATTTCTAGTACTACATAACATTGGCCCCAGATTCAATATCCAAAAGATACGCCACTGTCTATAGTATCATCTATTCCCGCCAACTTCCACGCGCAGATCTCTGACTCCGCCCATGTACCTTTTAGAGAAAAGCACTCTATTTGGATAACGCTGACAAGGATAGATCCTAATATTTTAAAGTAAAGAAATTTGCAAAATTTGCGTTCTATTTTTTGTAAATTGACAAAATGAACCCGATAAAAAGGGTAAACTACTTAAATTTTTAAAGCTAGATGTATTTCATTTGATTATTCCCAATGGTGTGTACATATCGTTCCAAATTTTATTTGCGTGTGGTGGTACAAATGACAATGACGAGGCATGAATTTTGGTACGATTCTTTGTTACATTATTTACAGTATAGTCAGAGGCAATTGGATTTTCTTTGCATGAAAAAATCGTTCAAAAACATTTTAACTTTTCAATTGTTATGTTCATTGTATTGCGTAAAATTATTTATAATTTTCTGAAGAATAGTTATGTCTTTAACTACTCCAACCACTTTCAAATTATCCACATAAAGAAAAACCTTACCGTTTACAGACTTTGTTGCACCATTTGTAAAAAGAGTTAATAATACTGGGCCTAGTGTGGATCCCTGAGTGACTCCCTGGCTTTTGCAAAATGTATAGATCTATAACTTCTTTTTTCCACATATTGGGTAGAAAAACTATTTTACGATAATAATTCAAACAAGTTGATATTTAGTGTTTGTTTCTAAATCAAGTAGGTTGCGTACCCCCAAATGTGTATTTTTTTTTAATAAACCCATACTTACTTTCATATGTTCAGAGGTAAAAAAGTGACCCGGTATACTTTCGTTTAATTTAAAGCAGTTTATTCAAAAAGTCTTACCAAGTGACAGATATTTCACTCTTTCGGGGTAAATTTTAACTGATCTCTTTTTACTAATCTTTGTAATTTGAAAAAACCCTAAAAATACATAGAGGTATATGATGAAAGACGCAAAGAGGAGTAAATTTGCATTAGCAAATCTCGTTTCTCTTAAAATTTCGGCTTCACCTTCATATTCGCGAGTTCGGAACTTTCCAATCCTCATATACGATTTGGGTTAATTTCTTTTTTGGTGGCTAACTTTAGTGTGGTTGATTTGAATAATCAGAAAACCTGATTTCTCCAAGATGAGTCATTAATAAATGGTAAAAATGTACAAAAAGCTGTTGACTTTGGTGCAAAAAAATTCAAGTAGTGAATCAGATGCAAATTATTTTTTTATTCATTTTTTTGATTATGCTCTGGGGGTTTTGCAATGATCTTACCTGAACTATATTATGTTGATCGTCTCTTTGGGGAAGCAAATAATTTGTATAGTCGACGCACAATAAAAAAAAAAACTAGGAAAAAAATTAACGGTATTAATAGTAATTTCACCTTTCATAGGGTGTCAGCCTGCTAATTGTTATCAAAATTGACGTTTGAATTTTAATACTTTACAGACAAGAATTATTTGAGTTAATTAATCATAATTAAGGTAAGTTAGTAAGACTGAATGAGCTGTACGTAATATGAAGTGACAGAATAGTTACTAAAATAAATCACCAGAATCCACGTTTACAATTCAAAATCATTGTGCGTCGACTATAGTTTGTTGTTGGTTGGGTAGCGACTTTCATGGTACATTCTATGGCGGCCTTGAAAGTTAGACCCTCCACCTTTTAAATTTCTCCGATAATACTTGGGTAAATTTAAGAAGCGCGTTAGAATAATTATTCAAAAAAATTTGGTTCATGATAAGTTTTTTACAGGAATTTTCAGACGAAATTTGGTAGAGTATCAGACTAGTACTTTATAAATCAATTTCTGTTCATTTTGTATCGTAATAGTTAATTACCTACATTAATTACAGCGAATGAGCTAAGTATCGCAATATGCAATATTTTATTCAATTTTGACGAAATAACACAATTAATTAAAAATTAATTTTACAAAAATTGAACCTAAAGAATCAAGTTTTTGATGGGCACAATTTATTCTCGCAGCAACTTTTGAGTGAAAATTGTAAACTACGTGAATTCTGTGAAAACTGCTAAAAAATGAATGACTATCAAGACGTTTATGTCCCGGAAGCTGGTTTTTATTTTTCTATGAGTGAATTAAAAATTTCACAATTTACTTGTGATAAAAACTTATTTGTCAGGGTTGCAAAGGATTTAATAAAGGCAGTTTAAAACGTCAATAACGTGAATAAATGAATTTATTTTTGTTGTAATTCCATAATTATTTTGTTCTACACGATAAATTGAACCGAAATGGATTTTTAAAATACTAGTCTAATATTCTACCAAATTTCACTTGAAGATCCGTGCTAGAAAACTTATTAACACAAAGTTTTTAGCACAACAGTCTTTTCACTATTTTTTTATGACCTCCGCTTTATTTTTCCATTCTCTGGCATTCACTTTTTCTCGATCTTCCTCCACTGGAACCAACCACTTTCTTCTGGTTCTTCCCCTTTATTTCTTTTCCATTGTTCGTTGTTTTTAAAATGTTCGTTGACTTTCTGGTTTCTGAAGTCGACGTACATTTATTTGTTACGTTATTGAGCAATTGTTAAAAAAATTAAGGTTAAGATGTTTATGGTTTGTATTCAAAACGCTTTGTTTTTGTTTATTTTATTTTGATATTTTTGTCATGAAATTTCAAATTTGAAGTTTTTTGTATGTCTACCAACCGCTAATGTAGAAATAAGCCCTAGAGGACTTTTATTTGGTACCAACTTAATTCAACAGGTGGTGGTTTTTTTTACATTTTTTCCCACTTGAGTCTTTTAATGTGATAGCCCAAAGTACCGATTAGAATTATTGCTGAATTTCAATAAATATTTTGTACTCCTAATTACATAGTCAGAATCCAAGTTTGCTTTTAAATAAATTTCAAAGATATTTGTAACTGTCACAAATTTGTTCCCATATCGCCAGTTTTTATTTTTCTGACCTGTATGAATGTAGTTTTATACAAAATTACTCTCCTCTAAAATCACTGCTTAGTTGTTCTTGACGACAGCTTTGATTTTAGTACTTTCCTGAGTGCCCTTGCGCTTCTGCGTATGTATTTTTATTTTTATAAATATGATAATTTCATATCATTGAAACGTCCAAGATTTATGAATATGTAAAATTTTCATATTTGAAAATAAATATTAACTTTTTAGACCCCCTAATCCCAAATTTTGGAATTTCTGGTTAACGCAGTAGTGGGAAAAAAAACTGAAAATGTTAACAGTAATAATTGTTTTATTCCACCTGTATCTATACGAAATAAAATAAAAAAAAATCACTTTTCACGTAACGGTTTATGGTAGAAAGTTCGGTTATCGTTAATTTCTAGTTTCCTTGTATTAAAAAAAAGTTGGCAAGGATGGAGGTCAACGTAAGAACAATATTCCTATTAAAAAATATATTTGATAAAGAGTTACACTAAAATCATTTAAATTTCCAGGAATATGAAAAGAAAATTGTGCCATGGTTATACGCCTTCGCCATTTTCACCATCTTCCGCCTGTTCGCCTACCTCTTCTTTTCCATCGTCAATGACTTGATCTTCGCCTACAACATTCTGATGTGCCTTCTCTGGACAGTTTTTCTAGCCATAAGCATCTACGGCTGGATCCTCATCTACTCCCTCTACATTGAACTCTCAGACCTAACCAGACTTGAAGACTTGGCACACTTGCGGGTAAGTAACCCCATTTTACTAAAACTCTTGGTATGTGTAAATAACAAATTTTCACATGCTTGCGTAGATAACTGAACGCTACAATTTAGGTGAGAGCGCTATCTGCCTCGAAATCAAACTAATTATTTTTTTCTGGTAGATGGGAACCATGCAATCTCTGAATGCATCGACAGTCCCCTCCCTGGCGGGCTCTCGTCCGACGACACCCCACAGTACGGTTTCGACGATGCCAGTGGGATGAGCTACTATGGAGTACCCCACTCCATGTCATTCGGAACAGAAGCTACAACTGCAACTGTTTCGACGATATCGTAATTTTATCCGTCCATAGTATAGGAACAAGTGCGTATTATTTTTTATCAATGACTTATTGTATGTGACACAATAATAAATGTTTTTAATTTTCAAACTCGAGGATTTCGTAAAACTCGCCTACTTTTACGGCGACTCCTTTATCTGTGACTATTTGTTTTGGTGAGGCGTCGTCTTCGTCGCTCGTACCGCCGGTTATTAATGCAATTCGTTCTTCTAGTTGGGTTTTGGCGTCTTCACTCTTTTGTAGAAGCTCTGATTGGATTTTTATTTTGTTCTCGAGGTGACGTATGGTGTCGTCTAACGTTTCCAAAGTGGTGTAAGAGTCAGGAAAGGCCAATTTGTCTAGGAAGCATTCTCCGGTGTGGATGATGGTGCCATTAACGTAGATTTTCTTCCCTAATGGTATCAACGCCGGGTGTTCTACTTTCTTACCTAATTCTTGTACATTGGCGGTTGTAATTTGCAAATCGTTCAATCTGGATGCTGTAGATTCGATGATCTCGTCATTTTTAACAAGGTCGTCGTTCAAGTGTTTAATAAAGTTGGAACGATTTTGTAAAATTTGCTTCACTTGGTCACCCATTTTGAGGTTATGCGTCGGTTCACGCTTTTAAATGTCAATCTGTAAAGCAGTACCAACCTAATTTAGTAACACCTTATTTGTCACTAGACAATGTCAACATGAAAATAAATGACAATTTCACTGTACAAATATAAACCAATTTTATTAAATAAAGTGACATAAACTTCACTAATTACAATAAAAAGGATTAATAGGACTTCTCCCTGTGGCTTTTAACAAAGGTTTTGCCGGTTTTGCGTTTGCATCATATGGAATTCCTGGCGAACTCAAAATTTGAAAATGGTGCTCTTGTACGTCCTGTGATCGATTCAATTTAGTGTTGATCTTCACTTTCTTAATAGGAGTAGACACCGAAAAGGGATTTTTTATCAATTCAGAAGACAAATTAAACCTACCTCTGGTGAAACTGTTCTCAACTGTCATTTCATCATTCGAAACATCCCACTGATTTTTTGGAAAAAGAATTTTTTCCTTTAATGGTTTCTTAATTCCCTCGTCAATAGCTTCAAACACGTGTTTGTTTTCACCTTTATCCGCGCTTGCTTGATCCTTCCACTGGTTTTTGGGTCTTTGAATGGCCTTAGTGACCAACCAAGTTCCAGAATTCCTTCTGAAAATTGATTCTATTTCTAATACTGCCTCCTGCTTGGGTTGTTTTTGGGGCGGGCTGTCATAGTTGTCTTCAATTTTACGTTTTTTCTTTAACACAGTGGGAAATTCGTTTTGGATTTTTTGCGCCAGACCTGTGTCTAGTTTAATTTTTTTGCCGCCTCGCAACTCAATTTCATCACCATTCTCGATTTTCCTTTTTCGCTTTTTCTTGCCTGTGATTTTTTGCTCAAACTTAACCAACCGATTTACGGCTTTTCTCACATTAGTGTCATAATCGTTATTCGCCAGTTTTACTTTTTTAACACCCAGGGGGTAAATGCCTGACGCCATTTTCTTAAAACTGATAACAATTAATAAATAAATAAATGAATCAATAAAAAATTACTTACTGTTCTGATAATTCAGTGATACATTTTCTTGACTTTGAATTTGTCGATTTTTCAAATTTGCAAGCAGACAAAGCTTTCACAATCGCTTTTGAATGGAATTTTATCTGAGGGAGTTCAACATCAACTCTCCCAGCTCTTGGATCATACACTCTCACTTTTTCCTCCTGTAGTGTCTCCTCCTCTTCATCTGACATTTCCTCAGAAAGTTCCACTTTCTTCATAGCATCAATTGAACCAGGGAAACCTAAATTTTTCCAAGCTTTGTACTTTTCGTCATATTCTAACCCTAAATCTGACTGTCGGATTAAGTATACAAAAATGTGTTTTCTAATATGATCAATAACACGAGCGTCATCACTAAAAGCTAACTGTTTGATAAAAGGCGTCAATAAATTTGTCGTGTGATGAGGTGGCAATTCGCCTTCTGATACCTAAAATTAACAACAAAATAATTTATTTTAGTTTTAATTTCACTAATTACCTTTGCCAACTCTTCCAAATAAATTTCAATAAAGTGTAACAACAACCCCAGAGGTTTCTGTCTCTGAGGGTCCAAAATCGTCTCTGATAAAATTTCCGTGAATTTTTTAATTGAGTCCCTTGACCAATTTTCGTTTTTTAAAACAAATAACACTTGTCTCAATAGCCGTCGCACAAACTACAATTATTAAATAAATGAAGAGTACAAAAACTGATCCACATACCATTAAAAACTTATCCAGTCGCAATTGATCAATTCCAAACCACTCGTTCATCAAAAGCGCCATCCCGCACTTGTAAAACAGCAAAGACGACTCCAACGGCAACGAGTGGACTAAATTCGAGATATTTTCGGCACATTCCTCCTGTTTAATGAACACTTGAGTGACTCCATTACATACATTTGCATCTACTTACTTGGATTAAAGGCTTATCTGACATCCACATGGAGTAGAAAAGCCCTTTCCAGAGTCTCAGGAAGTCATCTTCTGTGAATGCTATACGAAAACAATTAAATAAAGCCCACCAAACCCGCTAAAACTCACGTATTGTGCTCGATCTGTTCTGGAACCATTTTTTCAGACTCTTCAAAGCCCTATCCCTCGCTGTTTTATTATTCCCGGCCAAAACTCGTGCAAGTTTCAGCTCCTGAGCAACCACTAAAACTTTCTTTACCTGTTTTTTGTCGTTTTTCGGTGATTTTTTCATGTTTTCACGTGTTTTGGACGTGACAGTAGTTTCGAGCACCGCCATTTTGTAGAAATTTCAAAAAATGAGAGTGCCAACTTAAGGACGCCACTACCAACCCTCGCACCAATATCACCAAAGTGAAAAACGAAAATTTAAATTTTATAGTTTATTAAGCAACTGGTACCTTCACAGTGTTTAAATTGTTCTAAAATTGAATAATAATGAGCAACTTCAATTTTTTGTAACTTCAAATTGTGCATCTCGTGAGGATCTTCCACTAAATTGTACGCTTCTATAAAACCGCCTTCAAACACACAAAATTTGAACTTTGAGTGGTCAGAAAGGGCTACGAGACAACTGTAGGTGTTGTTTCTGGAATCTTGACACTTGCACCAAGCATCTAGTACACATTGCTACAACAAGAAACAAAAAAATAATGTCAATGTCAACAGCGCACGGCTTACTGATAACTCATTATCAAAACTCCATGGACACTGTGGGTCAATGGAGCTACTATCAGCTTCACCCCAATACTCCACTAATATATTTTTAGTAAATGGGGGGCTCTCTCTTCTAAATAATTCATCTTTGAACGACTGCCCATCAGAGTCTTTTTTCTCAATCTTAGCTAAATCCAAAATTGTAGGAAGTATGTCTACAGCAGCTACAGGAAACTCGGAAAGAACCTTTTTTGATATATTAGGGCCTCTTATTAGTAAAGGGACGTGGATATCGCTCTCGTAGGGCTCTCTTTTGTCCCACGGTTGTGTAAATTGACCTTAAACATAGATGATCTGTATATTTATTTCTGGAATGGTTCTTGAATTCATACCAATATGAAACCCATTATCTGATGCTAGAATAAAATAGGTGTTACTCAAGACGTTAACTTCTTGTAATTTGTTAATGATAACTTTCACCATGTCGTCGACAGCCTGTAATGTTCTAATTCGATTTTTGTATATTTCATCCAAAACTGTGACGTCAGAGGGGAGAATTTCTGGTGGCATTTGTACCAACCAATGTTTCTGCAAAAATCTCATTCAATACATTATTTAAAATATTGCTACAAATATGTGTGTACATGGACTGGTGTCACATTAAATGGTAACGTCCGTAACGTTTTCAAATCTGGAAATAAATTCGAATGTCTGGGGGCTGGTGTGAAAGGGGCATGGCAGGCAGGTGGTGCTAACATCATGAAAAAATTGCTTTCTATAGTGGATTTCTGGTTTAAAAAGTCTAGTGCATATTTTGTGATCTGATCAGTCAAGTACTCATTTTCGAAGAATTGTCCAGTTCCGTTTATCGACAGGGTGTAATTGTAATATTTTGAGTTGCCTTGGAGGCCTAGCCACCAGTCGTAGCCTTCTGGGACGTGTTTGACACCTCCAGTGTTTTTTTCGCCGTACTAGAATTATTATAATTAGGATATCTTGAACGGGTTGTGACTGATGAGGTGTAAGGTGTGAAACAGAGCGATATACCTATGTTTATTATCGGGTCATTTTTACCTAAAATAATAAATGGTTTAGGTTTTAGACGAAATTTGTTCTAAATCTGTCCGTCAACGCTAGGAAAAGGATTTTTTACATGTTCGTAAGTTCAAAGACACGTTAGTAGGTAGTAGAATCTGTTTATGTACTACATGTATGTTCTAGACCACTTCAGACACGGGGTGTGTCTCCGGTCGGGGGCGTGCCTCGTGGTGGTGGGGGTTAAAATGTTTTTTGTATAGGTGGGAGGTAAACTAGATGCGTGTAGTGTTCTCATTGGTGACCTCTTTTCGTCAAATCTCTGGTGGGGGTAGTGCTTCGTGATTAAGGCACGTTTGGTTAATGTACTGAGGAGAATGGGAGATAGAGGCAGAAGCATTGATATAATAAAGGAGTGGATGGAGCCTTGTATACGTTTCCATACGCAGGCGAGTGTAATCAACATAAGAGAGAAATAGCTAGACCGGTTATGCGTCAGTGGGGAAAGGACGGCTGACTGGGTGTCACGTGCTGAGTGGCAAGAAACGCTTCATTTGCATGGGAATTAATACGTTTTCTTCCGAATTTGTTCAAACAAATTATTATAACAAACGTTTATTAATGAAAACTATATTTTCACAGCTTACATTATAATTATATATAATCTAAAATAACAGAAATCGTGTTAAGCGATGGAAATCCTCTTTTAATAAAATGAAATGTGTGCAGAATCTACAATACATTACGAATTCAGTTAATACAACAATCTTCTACAAGTTACTGAAATCTAATAGTGTACAATCATTGTTTTTTCAAGCTAACATTTGGAAATCTGAATTTTTAGGATAAAAGTAATTAAACTTTCGGAAAAACTAACAGTTTGACTAATTTAATTAAACATATTAAATTGTGTGAATTCTCTACCAAGATCAATTTTTTAAATTCACGTACAATTAACTAACACAATAACCAAAAATGAGTTAAAAAATAATAATATTGATTAATGAGTAAAGTAAGTGTGTTTAGGTACCTTGTTGGAAATGAACGCCTTCGCTTAAGTATTCTTCTGTTTTTTTTATTTTTGCATAAATGTTCAGGAAAATTAAAGACGCTGGGAATAACATCTTTCTTCAATTGTCTTTTACCAAAATGGATTATGAAATCTGATTCTAGAAAATGTTTTCCACAAATACGAGTATTTTCAGTAGGTATAAAATCCTCCCTTTTTGTAGCTATAATCCATTTTTTTCGTAATTCGGGATGTTTAGGGAATCTAACAAAATTTTTATATTATGCGAAATCCTTCGTTTGTATACAACATGTAATTACTACCTGTGAAATGAAATAAAATTGCTTCCGTTTGCACGTTCCGTGCAGTTATATGCACAACACGATTTCACCATATTTAACAAATAGTTCGATAAAATGCAACCTAAGAACACTACTAATTTGAATAATTGTAACTTGAGTCCACTAAACGTAATTTTGCAAACAAAACACCTTCACACACCATGCGAGAACACGAAAGAAACCTCCTAGAAACACATTGCCGGGCAGTTTCGCGCCAATGTGTTGCCACCCAAAGAAACCCATCTCTGTCTGACTGTGTTGACAACGCGCATCTCTCTCTAAGTTACTTCCATATAATATTATTTCTATGGGCAGAAGATATAGTTCAGTAAACTCCTGTGACATACACCTTGTAAAACTTTTACTACTTAAGCAGCTTAAGCCAATCCATCCTTATAAGTCAAACTGGCTGTTGTAAGCTTTATGAACCCGAACCGCAAGGATTATTACTGTCCATTGTTGCCATAATGGAGCTCTGAACTGAGTTAAGTTATACAATAGCCAGCGCATTATCCTATCTGGTTCTCAAGATCTACGATTAACAAGATCATCACCAAGAACAAGCATTGGACCAAGTTTAAGAAAAAGAAGTCTCAACATGACCTAGACGTAGTAAAAATGCTAAAAAAGGACATTAGAATTGCAACAAGACGGGAGTATCAACAATTTATCCACAATTCAGAAAATTCGTTGCACTCTGATCCGAAAAAATTCTGGTCATTTGTAACCAGAAAATGAGAACATTTAATAATATACCCGGAAGATTGATACATAATGACAATATTCTAACAAAGCAACAAGATATTGTCGATGCGTTTGCTAGTTATTTTTCTAGTGTATTGACTGTGAATATGAATATGATTCTCATAGATGTGATAATAGCTGTGATACTTCCAACTTGTGTTCCGTTTGTGATAAGATAAGTTTTGCTGTCCATCAACAAGTAATATGGTAGACTGTGACAACACCTTGTCTTTTAAGGGTGGCGTCTGGTTCGGTTTCGCCCAATACTAAATACATTGAAAACATCGTCGTAGTTTCCGGAATTGCATTTTTAAAATACTGAAATCTCCAACCAAGTCAGAATCTAAGTAAACCTGTATTCTGCTACCGCATCACAGCTCGTTTAATGCCGATTTCTCGTTTCAATAGATTTTGACTTTTCGCGAGTTAGTTACCTCAGTCGTGGATTTTTTAATATTATAAATGGTATCAAAAGAAAGCTGACACTTTTCCCTAGGGGACCTCATATCTCAGAATGCAAAAAACTTCAGCACTTCGTCAAAAAATGCATCAATGTGCCGGTTAAAATGTGATGTAAAAGTTGTTCAACTTTATAATTTTTTTTTGTAAAAACTGCATACTAGATATGAAAATAAATATGGAGGTCCCCTGGACTGAAGTTTGTTAATTCGAAATATAATTTTTTTAAAGCGATATATCTCATATTTTTAAAATGCAACTCCGGAAACCGCGACGATGTTTTCAATGTATTTAGTATAGGGCTAAACCGAACCAGACGCAAGCCTTAAGTAGGGTAAATGTGTACAAGAGTACGCACTTAGTGTAAAACTGTCAACAACTTTTTAATTTTTTTGGATAGACAAATTTTATGATATGGGTTCGTTATATACATGTTTAGAGATCAGATATATTTAATTGTACGCCCCAACACCACTATATTTTAAGAGTAATTTCAATTTTTGTCAAGATGTGTAAATGCGCACTGTTAGACAGTTCATTGCACAAGAGTGCGCATTTGAACGCTTATGAGTACGCATTACATTTTATGAAAAAATATTTGTTTCTAAGGTGAAAATAAATGGGAATAAGTGACTACAGACTACACATAAAACGGGAGACCTATTTCTTCGTACTCTAGGGGTCTTGAAAAAACGAGAAAACGTAAAAATAGAAAGTCGGTCGACGGACTCGATTACAACACGCTCAGGAAGTAAAAATAAAAAAAAAATCACCATAACCACCACCCCACAACTCGAGAAGCAGTACAAAGTAGTAGAGTTAAATAATTCATTACCGTATGATATGTATCTCCAAGACTATTAGACTACATATTGCAAGCAATGCGCACGCTTATACAATACCTCGCTGCGCACTCTTGTACATTTGTACATAACCTAATGTTTTCAAAGTTAAAAGCTTTTGATGGACAGAAAGTGTAAAACTGTTAGTGTATAACGACACCTTAAAAGTTACAACTAATAAAAATTATTACTGTAAAATAAAAGAACTGGTACGTACCTTACAAAAAACTAAAACTATGAGCGGTAAAAATTACATCCACACAACGTGTGAACATAAAATCGTCAGTACGACCAAACTATAAACTATATTCAGGTCACTTTTGCACCTTTATCTCAGGTTTAACATTAAATTCTGAATGGTATAACTTCATCTTACCCAGATGGCACTAATAAGCAGAAATCATCAGTGCGTACTCTTATACATATGCGCACTCTTGTACACATTTACCCTATGTTCCCTATTAGTGAGAATGACATATTCAAGGCTGTTAAGAAGATGCATGCAAATAATGTCAGCAGTCCTGATGACATCCCTGCATTTATAATTAAAAACTGTAGGGTAAATGTGTACAAGAGTGCGAATATGTATAAGAGTACGCACTGATGATCTCTGCTTATTAGTGCCATCTGGGTAAGATGAAGTTATACCATTCAGAATCTAATGCTAAACCTGAGATAAAGGTGCAAAAGTGACCTGTATATAGTTTATAGTTTGATCGTACTGACGATTTTATGTTCACACGTTGTGTGGATGTAATTTTTACCGCTTATAGTTTTAGTTTTTTGTAAGGTACGTACCAGTTCTTTTATTTTACAGTAATAGTTTTCATTATCTGTAACTTTTAAGGTGTCGTTATACACTAACAGTTTTATACTTTCTATCCATCAAAAGCTTTTAACTTTGAAAACATTAGGTTATGTACAAATGTACAAGAGTGCGCATTGCTTGCGATACGTTGTCTAATAGTCTTGTAGATACATATCATATGATAATGAATTATTTAACTCTACTACTTTGTACTGCTTCTCAAGTTGTGTGGTGGTGGTTATGGTGATTTTTTTTTAATTTTTACTTCCTGAGCGTGTTGTAATCGAGTCCGTCGACCGACTCTCTACTTTCACGTTTTCTCGACTTTTCAAGACCCCTAGCGTACGGAGAAATAGGTCTCCCATTTTATGTGTAATCTGTAGTCACTTATTCCCATTTATTTTTACCTTAGAAACAAATATTTTTTCATAAAATGTAATGCGCACTCCTAAGCGTTCAAATGCGCACTCTTGTGCAATGAACTGTCTAAGAGTGCGCATTTACACATCTTGACAAAAGTTGAAATTACTCTTAAAATATAGTGGTCCTGGGACGTACAATTAAATATATCTGGTCTCTAAACATGTATATGACGAACCCATATCATAAAATTTCTCCATCCAAAAAAATTAAAAAGTTGTTGACAATTTTACACTAAGTGCGTACTCTTGTACACATTTACCCAATTAGTATTATGGTAAAACCACTCTGTTATGTAGGAGTATTTAATTTA